ATATCCATCAGTTGAAACCACCTCAATACCATTTGATAATGTCTTGGAAAGATTTTTGGGATGTATCTTCTTTGTGTAATGGCTACAGGTAGGCCTAATGTGATGGTTTAGGCATGTCTGACTGTGGCAACAACCTGCCAGCTTAGACTTATATCTGATTTTGTCACAAGTCTGCCAGGCTGACTCAAATTTGGAACTGTGGTCCTGAAGAGAAAAAAAGGTCAAAGTAACCAAGCCATAACCAATCATTGAAAAAGCCTTAAATCAGGAGCCGGTTTTTTTTTTTTTTTTTTTTTTTTTCCTGAAGTTTAATTTGAGGTCATCGCATTGAATGTTCTTGCAAAGGCAGTTACTGGTAAGAGACCTGATTTGATGAAATATGGATGTACATTTAAAAAAAAGCGACGTTCAGGATCTTTGGTCTTGTTAACAAACGATAGAAAACATCATAACACAACTGCTACATATTGAAGTGGTAAGTAACCCTGTTGTTCAATAGCCAAATAAGTGTGTTCAGTCTGCAGCTTAGCAGCTCAAATTCTGTGAAAGTATCCTAGAGGTGGATGCTTATTCAGATATGAGATTCTGTCACTGACAAATTTCTCTGTCGTGCTTTATTAAATTGTTACCATATCATTGCTTATGTCTCCAACCAAGGCCAAACCTTTTGTACTTACAAATTTACTTGCCGGTTCATTTCTCATGCCCACCTACGAGACTTACCTTTGGCTTTCGCCTCAATCATCTGCAATAAAACATAGAAAACATCTTTATGATTATATAACTTTCTTATGTTTGATTTTCTGTCATTTCTGAACAGGGTACGTTTCCATTATGGCCATCCTGATATATTTGACAGACTATTTCATATAACCAGGGGAGGAATTAGCAAAGCTTCGAAAATCATTAACCTGAGCGAAGATATATTCTCAGGTATGTCCTTTTACATCTCAAAAACAGAGATTTTATATCTGTAGCCTTTGCTAATTTCCTTTAATCTTCTTAGGTTATAATTCAACCTTACGTGGAGGTTTCATTACACACCATGAGTATATTCAGGTGGGAAAAGGCCGTGATGTTGGAATGAATCAAATATCTCTTTTTGAGGCTAAAGTTGCCAATGGCAATGGTGAGCAAACACTTAGCCGTGATGTTTATCGACTTGGCCGCCGATTTGACTTTTACAGGATGCTTTCATTCTACTACACCACAGTGGGCTTCTATTTTAGTAGCATGGTATGGATCCCTGACAATTATTGAAGTGCTTAATGGTAATCAATTTGTAAAATTGTGATTGTCTTATCTGAAATTTATATGTTGAATAGTGAGATGGAACCAGTCAACATACTATGGGTATTGTTCTTCAAATGCGGTAAGAAATATTAATATCAGGGAAGTCATTTTGAGAGAAAGTAGGTTAGTCTAACGCCAACGAAGTTAAAACGAAATAATACACATCCTCAAAGTCATTTGCTCGTCATTCTTTGCTCAAACTGTATTTTACCCTGATAATGGGCATTTAGCTAGACTTGACATGCTTGTACTTTTCTAGCAGTTTCTGTATTCTCTTCCCATTTGTTTAATTAGTGAAAACTGTTGGAGAAATTGGTCTAGGTTGATGGAGTTTAGGAGGGACTTGTTTGATTTGCATTTTAAATTTATTGCTTTGGATATCTCTGTAATATATCTCATCTTGTTCCACATTTCAGGTCACTGTTTTGACTGTATACATATTTTTGTATGGACGTCTGTACATGGTATTGAGTGGGCTAGAGAAATCGATCATAGATAGTGCATCAATAAATCAAACCAAGGCCCTTGAAGAGGCTCTAGCACCACAAAGTATGTTTCAAATTGGTGTACTTTTAGTACTTCCAATGATTATGGAAATTGGCTTGGAAAGAGGCTTTCGAACAGCAATAGGGGATTTTGTAATCATGCAACTTCAGCTGGCTTCTGTGTTCTTTACCTTTCAGTTAGGGACAAAAGCACATTACTATGGAAGAACTATCTTACATGGAGGTTCCAAGTATCGAGCAACAGGGCGTGGTTTTGTTGTTTTCCATGCAAAATTTGCAGACAATTATAGGCGGTATTCACGAAGTCACTTTGTGAAAGCTCTGGAACTTTTTATTCTTTTAATTGTTTATGAAGCCTATGGGGACTCATACCGCAGCTCAAATCTATACCTTTTTGTTACGTGGTCCATGTGGTTTCTTGTCGTCTCTTGGCTGTTTGCTCCGTTCCTCTTTAATCCATCTGGATTTGACTGGCAAAAGACAGTTGATGACTGGACAGACTGGAAAAGGTGGATGGGAAATCGTGGTGGAATAGGTATACAGCCAGATAAAAGCTGGGAATCATGGTGGGATGGAGAACAAGAACACCTGAAGCATACAACTGTGAGGGGACGGTTCCTGGAAATAGTCCTCTCTCTTCGCTTCTTCCTTTACCAATACGGAATCGTGTACCATCTTGATATTGCTCATGGAAGCAGGAGTGTCTTGGTATTATTCTATCCCATGTATTTATTTTCGTTAATACATTGCTGCAGGTTACATCTTGACTTTTATCTGTGATTTTATTCTGATAGGTCTATGCACTTTCTTGGGTCGTCATGGCTACTGTTCTTCTTGTCTTGAAGGTAACATAAGCAAGTTATCACCTATTTTCCCTCTTGTGTTATGCCTAGGACATAGTTTCAATTATTTAAAATTTTGCAACTTAAAGCTCAAACACAATGAATGATAATTAAAAGGTGGTATTATGAGTTTTTTTTTTTTTATTAATTTCCTTGACCATGGGTTCTGAAGCAAATAACATTCAGTAAAGTACATGCTTTCTTCTACAAGCAAATATTATACTTTTACATGTATTTCTTTTTATTCTGCTAATGAATCTAAATATATACCGCCTATAGTAATTTTTCAATGGCTATTTGCTCTTGGCATCAGATGGTCTCGATGGGAAGGAGGAGATTTGGTACTGATTTTCAGCTAATGTTTAGAATTCTCAAAGGACTCCTGTTCCTTGGCTTTGTATCAGTTATGACAGTACTGTTTGTGGTCTGCAACCTCACCATAAAAGATCTATTTGCTTCTATCCTTGCTTTCTTGCCCACCGGGTGGGCTATGCTTCTAGTAAGTTATACGTTTATCCTTTCTTGTCTGTTTCATTTTATTGTTCTTCTGAATTTATGATACTATTGCATATGTGCCACACATACACACTACCTATGCACAATGCAATCCCAAGACAGTGCTGAATTGAATTTCTAAGTGTGGCAATCTAAATAACCTCTAGCTGATTGTACCGACTACTATATCCTCATGCCATCCAGATTGTCTATGGAAGTATTAATGCATGAATTCACGATATCAATCCGTTTTTAATTCATGCCCATTTGCTTTCTCAGTCCAATCTTGTCTTTTGACTATGAGTTTCTTACCATAAGCCTAACAAATGCGCCTACTTGTTCTTGCCCTCTTCAAGATTGGGCAAACTTGCAGGGGTTTGTTGAAAGCTTTGAAGTTCTGGGAATCAATTAAGGAGCTCGGCAGAGCCTATGAATATGTGATGGGACTGATAATCTTTATGCCCATTGCTGTATTGTCGTGGTTTCCATTTGTTTCCGAGTTCCAAACAAGGTTGCTGTTCAACCAAGCTTTTAGCAGAGGTCTGCAGATTTCGATGATTATTGCAGGGCGGAAAGAAAAGGATCATTCCACCTCAGATATGCAAGGCTTAAGGGTGATTGACTTGTAAATTGTAATGATTCTTGTAGTAAACAATTTTTATTTATACTTCTGTAATTTCTCCCTCTTTCTGTAATGCAGCCATTATTACTGGTTTATGTTTAACGTCATCAGTAAGGTCTTGCTCCGCGTTCTCTAACACAGTACTTACTAAGTTTAATTTGTTCTTTAACCTCGTCCACTCTGACCCTGGTCCTTAGACTCACCAAAGCTCTAGTCGGTCTCAAATATAACCTCATACAATTTACAACCAAATATCATCTTCCCTTTCTTGTGTGAAGATCAAAGATCATACGATGGGATACATACAAGGCCAAACCTGGCTAGCCCAGCATTATTGCACATCACTATCAAAAAACGCTGTATAATGTACTCTTCAGGGTGAAATCGTTTGAAAAATCCCTTGCCTGCATGAGCACCATTAATCTATGTATGTCTACAACTCTTAAATAATTGATTATTTTAAATCCAAAATCAACACTAATCCAAGTACCATCAAAAGTGAGGATTAAATCAAAATTTTGGTTTTTGTTGTAATGGAATACGTCACCATCCATGGCTCATTGTTAGTCAAATCAGATTTGTTCATATACTTATATAAATATAAAGAACACAAGTGCATATAAATAAAGATATTACATTTTAATAGAAAAACTTTTTTTAAAAAAAAAAGAAAGAGCCATGATAATTTAAATACTTTCTAGCTAGAACATATTGTTAATGGTGGTGATAGGGTGGGTTAGGTTGCGATAGAGGAGTGAGGAGGGAGATTAAGGAATAGGTGATGGTAAAAGTGATAAATTGGTAAAGGTGTTAGTTTGATTGGTAAAATCATTTAACCCATACTTCCATGTAAAAAAAAAAAAAAAAAAAAAACATAATTAGATTATAACTAGAATATATATATATATATATATATATATATATATATATATATATATAAAGTCTAAAAACATTTTTTAACACATTAACCAATAACACAAGACGATTTAAATGATTTACACTTTGCCATTTCTCATAATAAACAACATTATTTCTAAAAAATATATTATGAAAAAAATTATGGTCAAAATTAGTACAAAACATATGATTAAAATGAATTATAATTTATAAAAAGCGCAGAACCCGAACTACTTCAACCAAAAAATTAGCCTTTGCCATGACTAACATAAGCTTTTTTTATTTTTTCCAGTGACAGAATATGAAACCAGCACTAAAGCATTCAAATCACTAGCATACAAGTTATAAAAAACTACAACATGAATATCCTCTGATTTGACTCAATATGCATTCTTTGAAAACAATAATGTCACCTGGGTTGCTCTCAGAACAATCAACGACAACAGAAACCGTGCAAGTACAAAGATTTGAACTAAGGATGCTAACAGAAATCTGAACTAATACAAAGAGTGAAGTAAATTAATGCTTAGAAATTTTTAGTCCAGCAAATTGTAGGAAGATCCAGACGAAGACGATGAAACAAAGTGGCTAAGTGTAGATACATAGTTCTGCCCTACAACCATGCTATGTTCAATAGATATGTTCACAGTATGAATTAGTACTATAATTGCAGTATGTTCACAGCTTCATATATTGAAGCAAAACCTGTGAACACGACACTTATCTCTGAGTCAAGTTGGTCACTGCAACTTTGAACTGCTAAACAGCCACTAGGGTGCATGAAGTGGCCTGCTCTTTCTACACTACTTAGTGCAAGACTGATGTTTTCTTCTTTGATATTCATTTCTGGACTTCGACTTTTGATTCGAACCCTATCATGACTTGCACTACCGCTACATGTCTGGCTCCTGGTCCTTGAGTTGCTGTAGAGCCATGGATATGATCTCCCTCAAGTTACCCATAAACAAACACTCTCAATAACAGTCTTTCCATTATTTGTGAAAAGCGGCCTGATAAAAGAATATTGAAATGATGAGAAAAGCTGATGACACAGATACTTCAGTGCACTACAAACTAAATAAATAAGCAGAAGATGGGCATAAGAATTAAGAAATGGGCACAGCATGATACAGCTTCAGATACTTCAGTGCATTACCTAGTCTAAAGAATAATGAACATTCGTGATCCGAGAGAGAGAGAGAGAGAGAGAGAGGGGGGGGGGGGACATAGGGATGGTAGAAGCCACCACCATGGTAATGTTAGAATGCTCACAAATCAACTTTATTCCACCTTACAGCCCTCTGTTTAAATCCTTAAACAAAAATGTATCTCGTTTATGGTAGATAAATTGGCTCCATAAGGTATATGCAAGTGAATGGTTAGTACTCTCTAGTTCAAAAAAGGGTCTTACTGATTTGAGGATATACCTAAAAGTAGCTAATGTTTTTTTTAATGCTATTTCTTAGAAGGGTGAGTTCCACTAACCTCTTGTGAGGGACATCTCCTCTGGAAACCTAGACAAGCATCTACCTAGTCGCCGTGATTTCCTTGACATAATTGCGTATCCTGCAAAGACGACAATATAACAGATTTCAGATAGACCTATGAAGTATGAACAATGAAGCCTCGAAAGAGAAAAGGGAACTATGAGATGAATTCAATAAGAATAAAAAGATACCTCCCTCTAGCACTACGAATGTTTTCAAGAATTTTCAACTGTTGCACTTTGGTGTTATTGGGTATCTCCTCATTAACTAGTACCAAGGCCAAGTCACTTTCAATATTGTTTAATTGTTGGTCAAGATCCTCCAAAAAATCAATATAAGATGATGGACCTCCGAAGCTACTAAGCATGTTTGCTTCATTTTCACTGCTGAAGCTTCCAGGAACTTCTTCTGCTTGACTATAAGACGAAATATCTCCTTCCCTTTCAATATCGAGACTTAGTTCTTGGTCTTCACTAAATTCAGATCGGTTGAAGGTGGTGTGGCTTTCATTATCTAAAATCGTCCCGTTATCTTGTGTAGGAGAAACAATCCGTACAAGATCTCCAGCATCATCCCCATTAATATCAAGATCCGATGCTACATTTCTGACTAATTGCGCTTCTTTGATAGATATTGCCTAGAAAGCGATAAAACTGTCATTGGTATGGGAACACAGAGGGCTACATTTTTAAAACAAGAAACCAGAAAGAGCCATTAGGATCACGTGAGATAGCCCTAAACAGCTACTAAAGGAGAAAATCCTAAGCAGTCATAAAATGAAGGAAAGCCATAAACAGTTGCGACCAATAGGACAACTTTACTTTCCTCTGCATTTCAACAGTTGGCATGCCATAAATGCAGATGATATGAATTTTTCAGAACGCAAAAGCACAGACATAGAGGCTTTATATCAAACTAACTCTAGTGGATCCAAGAGAATTTTACATGACAAATGACTAGTTAACCAACTTTAACCAAATCATCGTAGACTGCATGTGTCTTGTTCTATTGCGTACCTCATTAAGTTTTGCTGCAAGCTCGTCAAGCAATTCTACGCGACCTTTTGACTTTTCTAAAGCTGACATAATTTTCTTCTTCTGGAAAAGAAGCTCCCTAGCATCATCATCTTTTCCCTTGCGTACACTTACAGCTGCTTGCCGGCATAAGTTTTCAGCTGCTTCTGACAGCCGTAGGAGCCTGAATCTTGCATTATTAGCTGGACAAACTCTAACAGATCCTTGTCACTGTATGTCATGTTTTGTTATTAACTAAATGCACTCCTAGATTCATAAATATATATGCTGAAACTTTTATATATATATATAAAAAAATAAAAAAATCAAACAGTTTTTTATTCTCATTTCATAGAAGCTTTCACCATTTTTGAACAGGTATATCTAAAACATAAATGTGGTTGTCATCGTTTCATTAAGATTTAACCAAAGCCAACATAAAAATGATCACGTTTGATGAGCTCATTATACAGTAATAATCCCTTAAATTTGCAATACTTTATGGCAACATGGTCACTATCCCATCAAAAGCATGTAGCATCTCCACCGTATTAACTTTTTCCCCCTTATGGTCTTCCAGTTTGATTCCGCTTTTGAAATTTAAAATCCAAAAATTGAAATTAAGATGACATGAATGGATCCAAAACAATCCTTATTAATAGAGTATCTTAAAGTCTTCCTAAAAATCAGTTTATTAGCCCACTTGAACTATCAAAGCTAATGATTTGAAAAAAAAAAAAAAAAAAAACCAAGAAAGACAAAGGAAAATTGAATCCAGCAGAATTTCTAGCACTTATTAGTTTCTACTCCGTTAAAAGTCATCAAAAGGATCTTGTCATCTCTTGTGCCCGAACATATCATCACTAAAGATTGTCTAAAGAATTTGCAGCGGCGAAGAACAAAAGCTTCCTCACTTAACACCTCTGAATGTACTAGACCCACATAATGGGGCTTACGATATTATATCCATTTCATCACTAGATTTCTATACAATTTCGTTCCTAGTTGCATCTCATTGAAATCAATTTCCAGCAAGTTCTCAAGTCAAATTAATTACCAGTACAAAGCTACAAATATGCCCAAAATCTTTACCCACTGACAAAATCCATCACAAAATTGTTAGCACACTCGTTTCTCGGGTATGTGCTTGCAATTCCCAGCAAGTTCTCAAGTCAAATTAACTACAAAGCTACAAATATGCTTCTATGCTAAAACACCCACAAAGAGCTCTCACAAGCACACACATACATTAAAAGCCTAATAAGTATAACCCATCATCAGCATATCCCACAAAAATAGAAACAGAAAAAAATAATTAAGTATGACAATCATCAATTATAGGATGAAAACCACAAATTTAAGGGTTTAAAGCTTCAGGGGAAAAAAAAAATCATATCTCATAAATTGCGTTGCTAACATAGAAATCCAACGAACAATTAAAAAACATGAATCAACAGATGATGAAAATTCTTCCAACAACGAAATTGAAGAAGGTAAAAAATCTAACAATGTGAAATTAAGGGAGAAAGGTGCGACCTTTTCTTCGAGTAATGTGAGCTTCGGAGTGAAGCTGATCGAGTTGAGAGCGTAAGTGGTCAGTGTTGACATTTGAAGCTGAGCACATTGCTATCATCATCGCTTCTCTCTCTAATCTCCTCCCCTCCTTTTTTTTTAAACAACGGATTAATAAATTGGGACGGAGGGAGTATATCGTTATGTCTACTAATGCTGAACTTTGTACTGTTTATTTATTTATTTATTTATTATATTCATGCTTACTGTTAATTAAAATTAAATAACCCTTTTTCTTTCAAAAAGAAAAAAAAAATTAAATAACCCTTTTAAAAGTAGATCAATGTCAGTTTGCTAACGTCTTTGCTAATACTCTCGTGTTTCGTAATAATCGCAACACTTTTCTTTTACATCTATTTTATAATACTCGAACTGTCTCTTTATTAAAGACCTATTTGAATTTTTTCACGAAAATTAAGAAAGTTGGTGGAATTACATAATTAGAGAGAGATAGAGAAAGAAAAAAAAAAGTGGTTGAGAATAATTGAATAGAGGGAGAGAGAAAGTATTGGAAATTGATGTAAAAAGTTATTATTAGTACAAAAAGTGATGACAACTCATCAAAAAGTGGAGAATATTTTTAAATAGTACTCGTACAACCTTAAAATAGAAATAAGTTTTTAATTTTGATTTACCAAAAGAGCATTTCTCAGGCTCTAGGAATTGAACTTTTGTCTTAGAGGCCTCTAGGGGAGGTTAAATTAGTAATTCTGTATTTTTTTAAGACAGAAGTTGTAGTGGTGGACCCCCTTCTTTTGAAATTGTCGGCTGAGCAAATTAAAGAATAAAATAAACAAAAAAAGGAAAAGGCAATTCGAAATTAAAAGGGACGAAAGAGAAAACAAAAAGGGCATTGAAATTAAAAGAAGAGAGAGAAAACAAAACCCTTTCAGAACAAAACCCTTTCAGTTCAAAGAAGAGAGAAGATAAAGCGAAGGGCGAATATAGAAGCTAAAGCGAACGACAATCTGAACTGGAGGGAAATCTTAGTACTTTTCTGGAAATCTTCCCCCTACGAGTAAGTTATTTCTATATGTTATTTTGAAGTTAGGGTTTTTATGCGATTTGGGTAATTAGGGAAAATTAGACTAATTTTGTCTTATTTACTTGTGTGAATATGCGTAATTGTATGGAAAATGATTACTAATTGATTCAATATAGTTTAAATGCTCTTCCAACTGACCTTAAAGGAGTTCCAGTTGATGCTACTTGTGGGTTTGTCCTCAGTCTAATAAAACGGTGTCTCATATTTTCCAGCACAGTGAGTTTATTCGTTATGTCTGGGCCTCCCATCCTTTGGATGCCTTTCGAGCTTTATCTATGGAGCGGAATTTTGAGACTTAGTTAAATGATACTATTAGCCGGTTTGCGGCCTCTAAGGATTAGAACAGGTCTGGATGGTGTTTTAGGCCTTCTGTGGGCTGTTTGGTTAGCAAGGAATAAACTTCGTTTCCGCTCGGAGGTTTATCCTCCAGCTGGGATTATTGCTATGGCTACTAATTGGGCTACTCAAAGCTCAGCAGCTCAAAACTTGTCCTGCTTTGTCAACCCTCGTGTCCTCCTGAGTTTTGCCTTACTAATTGGCTAACACATATGTTGAGTAAGTCTTTGGACATATATGAAATTTGCCTTACTTTTGATGGGGCTTGGAATGCTGGGGATCAACGTGCAGGCATGGGCTAGTATCTTTCCCCTGGTTTATCTTCCCCGTTTGTTGGGGGAGGGGCTCAGGCGGGTTTCACTACTTCGGGTCTTCAGTCTGAATTGATGGCTTGCTTACTAGGTTTGTGTCATGTGCGGGATAGGGGCTTCTCCAATGTTCGGATCTTCACTGATTGTTGTTCGGTTCCGACGCTGATTTGGGGTCAGACTTCAAACACTATTTCAGTTATTTGGATTATGCGGGAGATACGACAGATTATTTCCGCCTTCTATTACTTATGCTCATCTTTTGGCTGGTTTGGCGCGTCGTCATCAACTCCTTTGTTTACGCTTTTATTTTATTTTTTTGTAATACTTTTTGTCAAAAAAAAAAGAAAAAAAAAAGGCTCTTTTCATGAGGTATCAGAACAAAATAGGAGCAATGACATGCTGAGAGAGGGCATTGGCATTGCCTTTTCTTAACAGGTACACAGCCTTCAAAAAATAAAATAAAATGTATTGCTATGCACAATTGCTCATTGCTCCCCCATCTCATACTAATCTATACATCAAGGAGATGCATGAAGAATTGACGATCAAGGAAATTTAAAGATTAATAGGAGAGTGGGTGACTGGGTGCAGGGAACTAGAAGAAATAACACGTCCTGTACTCCTGTATCTGAAAAAGTTCCGACAGTTTATCCTTCGACGAGAACAATTTGATCTGGTAACATTCATTCAGTTAAAAATCTGCTCAAAGAAGAATCATACAAAATCTGATGGCATTGAGCCAAACATGGGCTGGAGCTGGCTCTAACAACGGATGGGCACTCGCCAAATTGAAGTTTCCCCAATGGAAGACAACTCCAGCAAACAGCTGTTCAACAATGGAGCAGCAACTACTACGAAAACACAACCTTTCCCGAGGAACAAGTTTCAAGACCTGTCATTTGGCAAAAAAGAGAGCTGCGGTTCAAATGAGGTACCTGTTCAGGTTGACTATTCACCAAATTCAAAGACAGAAGATAAGAGTGGCTGTCACCGCACTGACCCTTTGTTTCCACAAATTCAAGTAGTCTATCAATCATGCTAATCAAAGGTAAACACCTTAGTTGCATGAGTAGCTGACTAGCTAATAAGATGAACTTCAAAAGTCATGTACACCCACCTGAATTGAACAAGTGCAATATCCAGAAACTTTTTCCTTAATATGAAATTATCTGGTAATGAAAAAAACGGTACCTCCTAAACCACTTAGCAAGACCAAGCTAATTATAATTGATACAAAGTACGGAGTACTAGTTATACTACTCCCTCCATCCCATTCTTATTTTCAAGTTATTAGACTTCCCCAAACATATTAGAAAACTAGTGAAGACTGGTGAGTAACAATACAGGAGATGCCTCACAAAAGAAAACCAAAATAGAAACAAAAAATGAAGATAAGGGATTACAGCCTAGGTCAAGAACTCAAAACCAAGCAAATATAATTAATATTATACCAGGAGTTTGGAAAAAAATATAAAAAACAAACAAACAAAAACTGAATACTCAAGAATCAGCAGACAAGTTTATGGACTCAGTATGTATTTGCAAGGATGTATGATAAGCTGAAAGCTAAACTGCCCAAGGGGGTTTTCATGTAAGTCAGGAAAGAAACTATTTCACTAATCATCATTTAAGTCCATTAAGCTACCCAATCTCTTCATAGGTTAAGAAACATACTTGTAGGATCCAACTTCTTAATATACAAATAAATGATTGAAAACACCAAGTATGATAAACATAAAAGATAGAAACTAGGAGAAGAAAGACAATTGAGACCTCAAATTGGTTAACACTGAGCATCTTTTAAGCTCCATACCTATAATTCCATTAGTTCCTGTCCTCTTTCCTGACAATTAACAATAAGCCTTTAAGCTATCTTCCTTTACCTGACAATCTCTCCGATGTCATACACTCATACATGTTACTCTTACAACTAACTGAAAAACCTTAACTAACCTTAAGTCCTAGATATAACAATGTATCCTAATGGCCCTTTTACAACACCCCTCCCTCGTTTCAGTAAGAATTGAAAGCCTTTTTGGAGTGCCTTTATTATGTGCTGATGAATGCATTTAAAAGCAACTTCAAACTTTCATTTTCTAAACTTTTGACTGAGAATGGGTGTTATCAAACTTCTTCATAAACCTATCTTACACCTGATACAAGATACAAATGGCCAGATACTGGAACCAAACTTCAAAAATTGAATTTCATCCTTTTGTAATCAATGCAATAGTGTGGACCAAATCTATGTGAACTGGAAGCCAGACACCTAGACCAAGGTTTAAGACCCTATTACCCTGTGACAGTGGTGCTACAATGGGTCCCTAAAAACCAGTCAACATTTGTTACAGCTTACAAGCATTCAACAACCTCCAGCAGCTACTGCTACTCCTAAAGTAAGTTATTATATTTTAGCTTTCGTTTTTTTTTTTCAGGTAGGTTTACTATAACTGCCATCTCTATATTCAATTGAGCTAACAACAGCTACCTTCTTCCACTTTCCAAAGCCACATAATTCCATCTCTTCAACTCAAATACGGAAGAATAAACATACAATTTACTTCAACTGCCCAAACAAGCTTTACTTCTTCTGTTTAAAAAGGACAGAGATATCGGGGATGTGAGATGAAACAATCCTCCTCCATCCCTCCCCTGAATCTTTGCTATACATAATTTACCATTATTGATCCCATGCACGGTTCTTTACATTTCATTGGTAAATTAATGGATTTCCCCTAAGAGAAGGAGCTAGAGTTCACTTATGGGGAATATTCTATCAACCCTTGAGTCCTCAACTAGGGATATTCCTGAATCCTAATAATGTACACTGTGTGCACAATCTTAAATTATAAAGAAATATGGCGGGGATGTAGAATGTCCAAACTAGTTACTAAGGTAAAGCACGTCAAACATATACCTCAGCAACCCTGCATAAAAGTAAAGTTTCCCAACATTACATCAACGATTAGAAAACTAGTGGGGACTGGGGAGTAATAAAAAAGGAGAAGTCTCACAAAACAAAACTAGGAAAACAAACAAATAAAACGACGATCAGGGCTTACAGCCTCAGGTCAAAACCAAGCAAATATAATCAATATAATTCCAGGATTTTGAGGGAAAAAACAGTAACCAAGAACCAGCAGACAAATTCATCGACCCAGTATGTATTTGCAAGGATGTATGATAAGTTCAAAGCTGAACTTCCCAAGGAGTCTTTCATGTAAGTCAGGAAAGGAACTATTTCACCAACCACGATTTAAGTCAATTAAGCTAGCCAAATTCTATATAGGGTAAGAAACATACTACTGCGTAGTAGGTTCTAACTAATAAATATATAAAGGAAATTTTGTCTAAAACCACCCATTAAATCCACTTTTTGTCTAAAACCACCCACAATAAAATGCTGCCCAGGACCACCCAAATTAAAAATTTTGTTGTCAAACGCCACCTGACTCATCTTTCCGGCATTAACTCAAAACTCCGGCGTTCACTTGACCCACGTGACTTGCACGTGATGTTTAATGACCCTCCCTCCCTGTTCTTTCTTTTTTTTCCTTCGATTTGTTTTGGGTTCCCTCTCTTCTCTCTTCTCTCTCCTCTCTTCTCCCCTGTTCTCTCTTCAATCTCCATTGTTACTTCTTAAGTTCTGAAATTCTTATCACCCATTGTTGAATAGTAGCAACATCCTTCGAATTATCCCTAATTCGTATCCCACCTCGATAAAACCTATCACCCACACAAAATCAACCCCACCTACCCATTCCCATGCCACAGCCTAACCCGGAAATCAGCCCCACCCAGAAATAGAGGTGGCTTCAATGGAGAACTTAAAGCTTGAGGTACGCTCCAATGGAAAATCAATTACCCAATTATTGTACCCCTTGTTTTTTTCTCCCGGAATCGAACCACAACCCAAACCCTAGATCTACAAACAATCAGCAACGAACTACCCATGGCAGCCATGACCAACGACCAGCTGACCACTACCAGGTAGCTTCCTATTGAAATGGGGATGGTGGTGATGATGGCAGATTACGAATTCACTTGTTGCTTGTTTAAAGAATTGGGTTCCTTTAATTTGGGGCAAAAAGGAAACAAAGAACATGAAATTGATTAACAAATTAAAGACAAACAAGGGTGAGAGGAGTAGAAGATGAAGAAAGGTTAGGAGCCATGGAATGATGAAGATGAGAGGATGGGTATTAGAATATGGAGAGAGAAGAGAGGAAATATGAAAAGGAAAAAAAATAAAATAAATAAATAAAAAAAAAAGAAGAAGAAGAAGAAGAAGGGGAAGTCACGTGCAAGGCACGTACTAGGGTCAATGCCGGAAAATTTAGTCAAGGTCTTTTCGGTAATAGGTGGCATTTGACAACAAAAAATTTAATTTGGGTGGTCTTGGGCAACAATTTTTATTGTGGATGGTTTTGGACAAAAAAAAAGTGGATTTAATGGGTGGTTTTAGACAAAATTTCCATATATAAATGAATGAAAATACCAAGTACAATACCATCAAGCATAGAAACTTAGAGAAGAAAGAGGATTGAGACCTCAAATTGGCTTTGAAGTAGAAGGCACTGAACAACTTTAAAACTCCATATTCTCAATTCCATTAAGCTCCTTGCCTCCTTCCGACAATTAACAATAAACCTTCAAGATATCTTCCTTTACCTGACAAGCACTTCGATGTCATACATGTAACTTGCAATATGGACAGAAGTACCAGGTTGTCCAGGTATGTGAGATGAAACGGTCCTCCTCCGAATCTTTGCTATATACAATTTACTATTATTGATCCAGCTCTAAGTAAGTTGCAATATAATGAATTTCACTTAAGAGAGAGGGTGCAAGTCTACTTATGGGGAATATTCTATAAACCCTTGAATTCTTAGATAGAGATAATCTCAAAAAAAATAAAGTGATAAAGCCAAATCCCTGAATCCTAATAATGTACAGCATGTGCACATTCTTATGATAAAGAATATGGCAAGGATGAAGAGTGTCCAAACTAGTTCCTACTTCCTCAGGTTCAGCAAGTCAAACTTGTAACTCAGCGATTCAGCACAGCAGTAAAGACTACCAACATCATATAAACAATTACTAACATTTTCGGAACAATCACAATTTACGTTTCTATTTGCATCCATATACACAGCATTAAATATAAACTAAGGACATTGGACAACCCAAGAAGGGGTGATGCATAATCAACTCATTCCGATTACATTCAAAAAAAAAAAGTTGTGTTACATGATCTTATTAAATACTAAATATATCAACATTTAGACATAAATAACTCAACACAAGCAAGTACAACATACCTCCTCTCTCAAAACCCCCATTAAAAAAACAATGCTAAGTGGCTCTAGGATCAGTTCCATGTTGCCAAACATAAACCATCTCATCCCAACCAGTACTAGCCAACAACCCTTCAACAAGAACACTCATATCTATCCCAACCGCGAATTCAGTATGCTGATCATACTTCCCAATCAAAGCATCCTCCACCATAAAATCCCACATACAAACAGTCATATCATATGAACAACTCATAACCATATTCCGGCGATGCGGCGAACACTTAACCTTCCTTACAGCATACCCATGACCAGCAAGAACAGCAATGGGAGTCCTATAACTCCTCACATCCCAAACCCGAACCGTCTTATCAACGGACCCAGTAGCCAGCAAACACTCATCATACTTATTCCAATCACAAGACAAAATCTCATGTTCATGACCAGGTATGATCATAGTAGAGCCCGGCTCACGAACATCCCAAACCCGAACCGTGCAATCCCCGGAAGCCGAAGCGAAAACATCGGCATGCCGGGGATTCCAAGCAACGGAGTAAACACAATACGCATGTTCTTTAAAGGTGCGCACACTGGTGGGGCGATCGACGGTCCAAAGCTTGATTGTATCATCCCATGAACCAGAAACGAAGGAATCACGGCGAGTTGGGTTCCAATCGACGGAATGAACTTCACGGGTGTGTTCAGCGAGAGAGCGAGAAGGGTTTTGTTGAGGGGGTAAAGAGAGGTCGTAGAGCTTGAGGGAGCCGTCGGCAACGGCGGCGACGAGGAGGTTGTCGTGGGATTCAGACCAGGCGACGTCGTAGATTCCGTCGGCGGTGTCGAAGAAGGTGAGTTCGGAGATGGGGGTGGGAGATGGGATGGGGGAGAGGTCGAGGATGTGGAGGCGGCCATTGCCGAGGATGCCGAAGTTTTGGGAGGTTGCGACGGCTAAGCGGTGTTCGTAGAAGGGGCTGAATTTGACGGAGTAGCCATTGAAGGGGGTTTTGAACACCGGCATGATCGGAAGTTGGTGGTGGAGGTGGTTGGCTCTTGTGGATGTGTGGGGTTAGTCTACTAAAATGGTTGGTTTTGGGGATTAGGATGGTCGTTAATCAACAATTGATGAATAAGGATATACGGAGTTTGGTTTAAACCGTACCAAACCGCAAACTAAGGGTTCGTTTGGCATCGCTGTGGTTTTCTGTTTTTTTTTTTTTTTCAAAAATCATATGATATATGAAATATAATGAATAAAAAAATTAGTCAAATTTATTAAGATCATGATAATTTTGAAAACTGACAACAGAAAAGTGGAAACACCTTTTTCTTGTTTCCTTTTTTTGGTTTTTTTGTTTTCAAATGCTGAAAATTAAAAACAAAAAATGATGTCAAACAAGCCCTAAATTGTATCTTAGCGGTTTGATTTGGTTTACGATTTAAAGTTACGGTATATCTTGAGAAATTAAAGAGCAAATAAAAATAGTGATCAAGTTTTAGTTTTGTTAAATTTTGTTATTTCACAACATTATTATATAGGTGTAGATAAATGCCTCTTGGCATTGTTAAGAAGCTAATAATACAATTGTATCAAGTACAAGGAAAATGTGGTTTGGATGGATTAATTTTAAGATATATTCGCAGCCACAGGCCACAACCGTGCAGTTCTTGGCAGATCGATAATAATTTGTTGCAAGCTAATTAAATTTTGAAATTCAATTCTATATATGAACTATTGTTAAGTTTCGTGCGACGCACGATTTCTGATGTTATTTTTATTTTTAATGTTAATTCAAAAATAATTTACCAAAAAAAAAATAATTTTAAGATACACTACTCAAATATATCAAATTATTAAATTTGAGTGTATGTATTTGGAAAAATAAAGAGCAAGCCTCATTTTATAACCTTGATATCAAATGACATTTTCGTAAATAAGTTGCATTGAAAATTGTGTTTTTTGATTAAAAAATATATTTTTACTGTTTGTGCGCCACTATGACAAGTTGGACAGATTTTTGGAGTTAACACCATTAACTCACCGTTTGCTACTATTCATCTTCTTCTTCCTCTCACCTTCTTCTTCTTCTTCATGTTCATCTTCTTCCTCTTGTTCATATTTTTTCTTCTCACCCACCTTAATCTTCTTTTCCAATCTCTACTCACTTTCACCTCCTCTTCCAAGTCCGTTTGACACCAAGCCGGTGAAATTAAACGAAAACCCTATTAACAAAAGGAGAAATTAATGACATGGTTAACCCTAAAGGGTAGCTGAGTTTTCCTTCCTCCATTAAATACATCTTCATACCACCATTTCCGACAAGTTGAAGGAGGAGAGAGAAAACAACAGGTAACCAAAAGTTAAATGTAATTTACATATACACCTTTGATATACAATTTTTGTTTATCAAGGTTATAAACTTGTTTTCTAAAAAATAAATATAATTGTCAAAATGGAAAGAAAATATTTTGAGTTACAAACAAATTTAATGGAGATGTAGCATAAAAAAAGAAAAAAATTTAGAAAATAAAATAAAATGGAGGAAAAATTTTCAACCTAGAGAAGACATGTGTCACTCTAGGTTTCACTTTTAGTATAAAATTATTATTGATGATTATTAATTTAGTTGTTGATAATAATAATGTAAATGACCATTTTAATTCTGATCTTTTACAAGTTTAGTGATATCAAGTGGAATACTTTTATTCTACTAGGCCCTGGTGCACCTAACACAACTCACCTCCAAGTAAAAGTGGCCACAGACTTTTTACTCTTTTGGTTTAGATTTAAAGAATATTGTTGGGGTTTGTAACGTGCTTTTTTTTTTTTTTTTTTAATTTTACAACAGCAGAAAATCAAAATAGAAAAAAGAAACACCAGAAACCTAAACACATCAAAGATAATACAGAGAAACTAGTAAAAGTAATTCGACATTGGTTTGTTATGTGATGAGGACGACGGACTTCATCCCTGTCAACTTTGACGATTATGCAGTGTTGAAACGTCCTTCTAATTTGACGAATCTCCTTTAATGTTGCCAATGTTATATTCATTATTCAATTTCTCAATAACAAGTTAGAAAAATATGCCTATAAGAATGTGATTGGTGTAAGAAGGGCTTCTTGGAGGATCAATTCTTCAATTGAACAAAAAGGAGGAGGAAAGCAAGCGAAAAGTGGATCATGTTACTACTACCTTCAAGGAGTACAAATAGAGTTGTTAAAAGCTGATCCGACCCGAAATACCGACCCTAAATTGATTATTAACTAACCTGTTTGAACCCGGAAAAATGGTGACCCGAACCAGATATGACCTGAACTGAAACTAACCCTAGACCCAAGTTAACTAGATTATTTGAGACTCGAACCCGAACATGAACCGACCTGGAGATGACCCGACCTGAATATAACCCGTAAATTATTGACCTGAATCGAAACCGACCTGAACCGATATTGACCTAAACCCGTTTTAACCCATCAAAACCCGACCTATTACTAAATCGACCTAAATTTAACTCGACCTGTTACTAACCTAACCCGGATTGTACCCAACCTTTAATAACCCGACCCGAAATTCAACATGATCTATTACTAACCCGACTCAAAATCAACACAACTTGTTATTAACCCGACCCAAATTCAACCCGAATTGTTCCTGACCCATTTTGAACTCAACCTAACCTTTTATTGACCTGACCCGATTTCAAATCACCTTAAATTCAATTTAGACCACCTTATTAATATTGATCAAAGTATAGTTATATAGTTACGTTGTCACTTGTGTATTTGTGTGCTTGTGCAAACGAGTTACTATGATAAGTTCAATAGTTAATATTTCAAAACATACGACTTCTTACATAGACTAATTATAGCTATTTGCTCATATAGACCCGACTTGGAAATGACCCTACCTGATTGTAACCCGCAAATTATTGACTTGAACTGAACCCGACTTGAACCCGAGAAGGCGAGAATGACCCGACCTGATTGTAATCCGCAAATTATTGACTTGAACCGAACTCGAGAATGATCCGACTTGATTATAACCCGTAATTATTGACTTGAACCCAATGATCCTAACTCATTTTAACCCGTAAAAACCTGAATTAAACCCGACCTCTTATTCACCGACCCGAATGTAACCTGACTTGGTATTGACCAGACCTAAACCCGATAAGATAAATGACCTGACGTGACCCAACTCAAGCATGACCCAACTCGAACCCGACCCGCATAGGTTACGACATTAACCTGAATTAACTCGACCCGAGTTTACCCGACCCACACTTACTCGACCCAAACCCGACCCGTTTACCCGAATTGACAGCTCTAAGTACAAACAAGGGAAAGAAATTGAACTTGCTAGCAGGATATGTGATGGGATTTCAAACCTTCTACTAAGTCTAAGACTCACCCCTTCGCTTTCCTCTACGACTCTACTAAGTCTAAGATATTATACCAAATTACCAAAAGGTGAATGATGAGTGAGTATCACGTGCGTGTATCTTGTTGAGTTTAAGATGGAAGCTAAGCAGAAGGAGACTATTGAGAACACTATCTTTGCTTAAATGTTTGCTTAGATTAGTTTCATACTTTCATATTTATGGTGTTGATATATTTCCTTAGTATACAATAATCGGATATAGTTTAACATGCAAAAACTTTTGGTGTTTTATGCGGAGTATAATGCTACTAATTTTGTTATAATTTTTATTAACGTTTAATTAAAAATATTGATGGTCAAAAGACGAGTCATACTACAAAAAAAAAAAAAAAAAAAAAAAAAAACGCGAAATCATTCTTACAAAAAATCGAAATTGAAGGGTTTATGTTTATCTACGTTTTAATCTCTCCTCCCGACTCACTCACTCAGTCAACACCTATTTCAACTCGTTCTCAAAAATGAAGTATTTACGATTCATTTCACCCAAATTCTCAACTCTTCGACAAAACCCTAGCCTCGAGTTTTTAGGGTTTATCCAATCATCAAATGCAATCTCCTCGCGCAATCACAGCACCACTCCGGCTCACGAATCGTCGCCAAAACCACCGTTACCAGCGCCGAAGATCACAGAAATCGCCAACGAAATCTCGAATTTGACATTGCTAGAAGTGGCAGACTTGACAAGTTTGCTTGGGAAGAAATTGGAGGTTAAAGATTTGCCGATTGTTTCGTTGATGATGCCGGGAATGGGGTTCAGTCTCCGAGGAATGGGTGGCGCTGGCGGCGGTGCTGCGGCTGCGCCGGTGGAGGAGGTGAAGAAGGAGAAGACTGTGTTTGATTTGAAATTGGAAGCCGGGTTCGAGGCCGGGGCGAAGATTAAGATTATTAAGGAGGTTAGGAGTTTTACTGATTACGGTTTGAAGGAGGCTAAAGAGCTGGTGGAGAAGGCTCCGGCGGTGTTGAAGACCGGAGTTTCGAAGGAGGATGCGGAGAAGATTATTGAGAAGATGAAGGCAATTGGTGCGAAAGTGATCATGGAGTGAGGTAAGAATTGATATATAGTATGCTATCTATTATCTTTGTTGAAATTCATTTATATTGGTGAAACTTTGTATTGATTGTGATTATTATTTGTTTTTTTTTTTATTGAATTTGGGTTTTCTTATGTGTTTTTGGGAGGGTTAAGGTGGTTTTGTTGTTGGGTTTATGTTAAGATTACTTTTGCTACATTGTTGACTAGAAAGAATGCCATTTTTGCCAAGTTAAGCATTTAGAGTATGAATTTCTGCAGTCATTGGTTGGTTTATGTCATCGGGTAATTAACTTTATTAGCTATTGTTCTCTTTGAACTGATAACGTGGAAGTTTAATTTGGGTTGTTAAACGAATTTGGACATATATATGGGATTGGCGATGCTAGTGGATAGTGGCAACTCTGTGACTGGTTTCTCTTTTGAAGACAGGTGTGGCTGGAGAGTAGTTAATGCTGGAAAAATATGCTTCCTTTGCTCATGTTTAATTGTCACGGTAATAAAAGTTAGAAATTAAGAGCTGAAGTTAGGAATTAAGTGTGCTACTTACATGGATTGTGGGCACTAGCTTGTAATTGATAGTGTCTCTGTGATTGTTATTAAGGTCAATCATTGGTCATGGGTCTTGAGGTTCACAAATGTACCACACGGTTGGAAAAATCTGACTTAGAGCTGAAATGGAAATTTTTACTCATCATTAAGCGCTGATTTCTAATTTCTTCAGCCTTTTTTGGGGGAGATACTTACTGTTCTAGTGTTCTGAGGTGCACATATCTGTGCTGTATAAGAATTGATTTAGTACTTAAAAATTTTGAGCTCAGAGAATTCCTATCTTTGGTTCTTAAAATTTGAAAAATTCATATTCTAGCAATCTAGCTTATACATCCTTCAGTTAACTGGGTATTGATGAGAAAATGGAGTTGACTAATGCTCCATTCCTAATTAGTGTCCACTTAACCAACTTTTGTTATTCTATATTACCTAACCTTAACATATCTAAGCAATGTTACTTGCAAGTTTAAACTATCTATGCAATATTTCTGTCTATCAACTTCTCTCTCCCCCCCCCTCTCTCTCTCTCTCTGCCCACACACTACCCCTCCCTCTATCTTTCAGCATGCAATCCTAACCCCCCCCCCCCTCTCTCTCTCCTCCTTTTATTTCTTTTGAGCATGAGCACCATCAATCCTCACCTGTCTCTCTCCTTCCGTTCTCCTCTCCACCAGACATCAAATCACTCTACAAGAGCTTCCAGGCCAAATATTTCACCCCCCCCCAACACACACACACACACACACACTCCTCTCCTTTCTTATTTTGTTTTTCCTTTTGTTCCATTGGAATTTTCACCAGCATATCATCACCGTTGCCTGCAACATTCCTCATTTCCTTGCTGCCTTTTTTTGTTTCCAAACATTTAACGGGGAAAAAGGGTTGAAAGCTTTTGGGGACAGCTAGTAAATGGGATTCGATTCGTCGTGAGGATTTGTGGTGGAGCGGTGCTATGTTTTAAGCAGAAATAAAGCAAGAAAAAAAATGATTTCATTAGCTTGATCAACGTAATTAAATAGGTGGAATTTCTCTTTCAATGGTTGGGTGTTGGGGGGGTGGTGGTGGGTGGGGAGATGGTTTTATTGGAAAAGTTGATATAAATTAAGGGATAAGGGAAGACAGCTACTGTTATTTTCTAGAGAAAGGGAGCAGATTTGCATATTCTTCAGATTGTTGCTGGATAAGGTGGGTATTGTGATGAGTTGGGAGTAGGAATTAGGAAGGACTACCACTGTTTTCATTCAAACATGGGGTACAAATTTGCAAATTTTTCAGAAAATCTGTGGGGGTGTAGACTGAGAAATATGGAAGAGCAATTTTGTTATGCCCTATCACATATACTTTTTTTTAGTGGTGCTATCTTTAAATTTGCCTGTCCATGCATTTTTTTTCTAAAACATTGTGCCATTTTGAGGAAGGTAAACTAATTTGCAACTAAGGGAGTAAGGTAAGTACCACTAAGCTTGAAAAGGTCTAGATAATGGCTTCCAAGTTCGTTTTACTATTAATAAGTAATTAAGTATAGGCGGTAAGTGCACTAAATTAAGTTCCAATATGTTTATATAAGACTAAAGGGATATTTAGGTGAAAAAGAAGGAATTTTTCAGTAAGAGCACCTTATAGAAAATGGGTGGATGTCGACGTTGTATGTTTACTCCATATAAGCCTCTCATGTGTTTGTTTCACTAAATACATCTGTATTTTATCCTCTATTTATATATATATATGGTGCAAGTACTTTCAACTCAACCAGTTGTTTTTTTGTTCCAATTTTCCAATCTCTTACCCCCACATGAGTTAAAGGAAAAAAAGTAATTGGAATTCTAATTATGACAGTATATATGTTTCATGTGTAAAAGAATGGGCAAGGTATGAATCAATACAATTAATGATTTAATGTGAACTAAAACTAGTGTGGTAAAATTACTAAATAATACTCCATTTATTATAGTCACATTGCTTTAACCTCCCATTATCCAGGATACAATATATTTTATAAAACTACACTTATGCCTTATAGTAGTTTTGTGTTATCTATCCTTTGCCCTATGAGTCCTTGCGAGTGTATGCAAGTATATATTCTAGACGCGTAATCAATTTAGAGTTGGTTTTTAATCAATCAATCAATCAATCAAAGCCTTAATCCCATAAGTGAGGTCGGCTACATGAACTAAAAGTGATTATTTCGTATAGTAAAAAATCTTCCTCCTCCTCTATCCCTTACGATCATATACCTCATTCTCATGCAAATTCCTATGCTTCATATCCTTCTTAACTCCTTCCAACCAAGTCATTTTCGGTCTCCCTTTACCTTGTTTAACCTCTCCATGCTCCTACTCTTCCACTTTTCGTACCGGTGTACCCTGGTCAGTCTTACATGGCCGAACCAACGCAGGCGATTTTTCCTTGGTTTGTCTGCAATGCTTGTGACACCCACTTTCTTGCGACTAGCTTTATTTCTGATTCTATCTCTTAGAGTGTTCCCACACATCCATCTAAACATGCGCATTTCCGTATCCTTCATTTTTTTAATGTGCTCTTTTTTAGAAGCCCAACATTCTATACCATAAAGCAACACTGGTCTTAGAGTTGGTCTTTGATGTTCGTGGATAATATATATGATAGGCAGGTACAACCTTTCTCAGGTATATTGTTTATCTGTTTTAGATTTTTGAAAGGAGGTGAATTGAACTTGAAAACTTGCCTGCTGAATTGGGAGTAAAAATAGAGTACTTTACTGTATCAAGCAATGGAATCGGGTTCGTTTAGATGTTACAAATAGTATGTAGTGACTAATGAGTTCAGTGGCTAACCCCCTAAGTATATAAATGTTATGTAGGTTTAATGATTTATTGAAAGCGGGAAGGGTAATATAGGTTATGTTATAGCCTATCTATTTCTGTAAGACGTTAATTAGACTGTGTAAGTAATTTATAGGAGCAGAGATTTGGAAATGATAGGAAGCAACTGTTTGTGGGGTACAGGAGTTTAATTTTAGTTATACTTTTGGAGATTCAATAAAGGTTCTCAAGAGAATGAATTAATATGAGAGCAACTTCTATGATATTCTCCGTATCGCCTTGATACAATACAAAATACAGAATTTGTGAGGTGGAAAATCTCTTATTTTTGCTTGGCATGGTATATATCATTGTTTCAATGCCTTAATGTGTTAAAGATTCATGTGGGCATTTATTTGGTTCTTGGATTATGATTATTGCATTAATTATTTTTTTACACCTCTGTTTACATTCTGTCTCTACACTACCTGCCAATTGTTTTGAGTTGTGAACACACTGCACATTGCACACTGGCCAAAAGGAACATAGCCCAAATCCCCATTACTTGTACCTTTAACTTCGGTGATAAATCTGATAATTGTGTTTCTTGAGAAAAGAAAAATGCTTCTTGTAGCACAATGTAATCTGTCCCACAATCTTGGTTTTGCTTGAAGTATGATGGAAATATATTAGAGTCCTATGGTGAATTTTTGGCTACTTGGGGAGGTTGTATTAGAGTACTTGGTTTGGAAGCTTTCTATATAGATTAAGCCATATGACAATCTGATCATTGTGTACGAGGGAGCTATATATCTTTAGCAATGCCGACGATAAATTTTGTTAATATTTTATATTGGGATTATTGAAAACTCTTTTGTTTCCTCTTCTCTAAAAAGTTTTCAGTATTCTTGTTGGGACATCAATCAACTGTTTTCTGGTACTAATTGCCTAAGCCCATACTTTATCAATTTGTTTTAGCTTGTTTAAACTTTGCTTTATACTTTAAGTCATGGTAGTTTCTAGTTCTAAGAGTAATCCTCTTTTCAAGGGTTGCCTTTGGACTTGCCTATGATGTAAATTTTCTATCTGCCCCTTTGACTGATTTTGGTTAAATTTTGACATTTAAGGGCTATCAAATTGTTGAGCTGCAAGTTGATTTCTCATTCACTACAATTGTCACATGTAAAGTCTTCTATTCATAAAAACCTGATTATGGGAAGATAGAACGTATGGAGTTGAACCCAACTAAAAAAAAAAAAAAACAAAAAACAAAAAATCAAGTATAAATTTAAGGCAAAATTGGCCTCAATAGCACCAATTATAGGTTGGGTGCGAAGAATAGCACAACCTTAATCGGGTGTACTCTATATCACAAACTATTAACTTTGGTGCAGAAAATGTCATAAAAGACATAAGAGACTGAAGATTTTGCCGAAAAAGCACATTTTTAATATTTTTAACCAATTTTACCCTTTTTTATTTTCTCTCACCTATATAATTACTTTACTATACTAAGGACATGCCCCCTTTATTATAATTCACGCATTACCCCCCAATATATATAATTAATTTTACAAAAAACCAAAACATCAAGGCGAACGAGGAAGAAGACGAAGACCTATCCTAAAATCTTAGACAAATAATCAGACATTCTATAAATTGTACTTTGGTAAATTTTGAAACTCAATTTCTATTTATGTGCTCAATACCTGCATTTGGTTATTTGTCTTTTTTTTCATCATTTCATGAAATTATTGTATTAGTCAGTGTTATGATGATATGTTAAAATCGATGTAATTTATGACACTAGAAAACTTTATTATGCTAAACATAATCCAATTGTTGTATTCATCGTGAATGTCACTACAAAATAAGTTAAAGAAAAGTAATTAGGGAGCACGTGTACTAGGTATAATAAAGTAACTAAATACGTTTGAGAAAATTAAAAAAGCGGTAAAAATTGGTTAAAATTATCAAAATAATTTTTTAAAAAAAAAAAATCACTTTTTCGGCAAAATCTTCAGCCTCCAATGTCATTTATGACATTTTCTGCACCAAACTTAATAGTTTGTGATGTAAAGTGCACCCGATTAAGGTTTTGCTATTCTCTGCACCCAATTAAGGTTGTGCTATTCAATAGTTGGTGCTATTGAGGCCAATTTTGCCTAAATTTAATATATTATGCTTTGACTCATTCTCTGTTAGATCTACTTTGATATACATCAATTAATCAATCAAAGCCTTAATCCCATAAGTGGGGTCGACTGATCTACTTTGATATAGATTTATGTTTTTCCTAATTATAGAATTCTTATGACTTGTTACAAATGATGATTCTCTCTTTGCATGTCATAAACATCAAGGGTTTATATATCTGAACTATATATATTACTGGAATATTGGAGTTTTCGTCCTCCAAATTCTGTATGTGAATGATTTGATTTCTTTAGGAAATAGCGGACATCCTAATCATAATTTTTGTCAAGGATTTTGTTTTTTTGTGTGGGCATGTGAGTTTTCTGTTACAACTTTTTTCCACTCTTCTTTTTTATTTGCTCTATTTATTTAGAATCCTAGGTCGCCATTATGGTTGCCGGGTAAGATTATGATATCATACGACAGCTATAATCAGTTGTTTGGGATTTGGGTGAATTGGTGCTAGGATAATTGATGGATACACTTTTTTTTAAGAATAATTGTGTTAATTTCAATTTTTTAATTCTTGCTATGCTTTAATATTCTAATTCAATTTGTGAGTTTGTCTAATACATGCATTTGTTTTCGACAGGTTGGTCTCTGATTTAGTTAGATTTTTTGCCTGAGGAAGGTTGGCAGAATGAATAATTCCCCTCTCTAATTTGTGGTATCTCTAAGCCTGCCAACTCTTGCTGCATCATTTTCCATGCTTACAAAGGGCTGCGGTCGAGATAAATTAATATTTCAATGATATCTCTTGGAGTTTCCATCAAGCCTGAAGTGCTGGATAGAAACTTGTATGTTTTTTCATATATTCATGGTTTCACTGAGAGTAGGTGAAAATGTTAGAAAATTTTGCACTTCAATCACGCACTTTACAAATCTGTGATGGTTACTGGCTTACTGCAAAATAATAAACATCTCCATTCTTATATATGGTCGTATTGTTTTCATTAAGGATATTCTTGATTATTGCTACTCTGGACTGATTAGAATTCTTTTTTCATTTCGGGTGACTGTCAGAAGGCAGAAATGCTCTTATTTTGATATACTAAGTATTTCAAATTTTCAGCTGTATCATGCTTGTCCAATATATTTCTGTGGCAATTTGTACATATAGAAAAAAATTTAGAAACTTTTACCCCTCAAGTGATTAATGGACTGTAATCCTCAAGTTTGAGTGATAATTATTACAGTAAGCACAGTTTACTGCAACATAAAATGCTCAATTACATTTACTTCTGCTATTGCACTGAAGTCTGAAGTTTTGAGGAGTAAGTATTGTATTGCATCATATATTAACAAACAGTTTTTCTTCACTGACGGAACAAAATCGTGAAAATCACTTGATCAGGAAACAATCCCTTCATCATCTCTCACGACTCACGATACTAAACCTCACCCAGCAACAATTTCATGTATTACACAATCCTCGTGCCATTGGAAATGCATGCTAGTGCTATTAACCCCAAATGAGAAAGTGAGACGAGGCCTAAAAGCAGGAAGAATTTTCATGTTTTGCCATGGCTTCCCTCACCATGTTCATCTTCAGAGCTTGATACTGAATCACCTCCTGCGAGATCAGTGATTGCAATTCTTCGGCTGTGGGTGTAATCCAGAGCATTAAATTGCTTGCAGATCTCTTCTACATCGCTGTCTGTTATTTTCCCCATCTCTTTAAGCTTGAATATTACATACTCAGATTTACTGCAAACATCAAAACTTATTAGAAGCAGTGGCGGGTCTAGAAATTTAATATAGGTATGCAAATTCAATCCTTTCCAAACAATTAGTAACGCATCTATAGTAGCAACTGTTGCAAGTTTTCCTATCTTGTTAGACGAGAAAGTAGTGGGGACTTGTTTTAATTATTTTCTCATGGGGTGTACGAAATAAATCTTCCGTGGTGTACATAATACAATTAGTCGTTTTCATGACATAGCATTGGCATACTGTGGATGACCCTGTTTCCTGTTTGCCATCGTTTTCCAATAGTTGAAATTGGCGAACCTTGTTAAGGATTCACAGACCTCAGTTATGCCACAGAACTTGATTTGTTTTGCTGCTTGCTGACTGAAGGGATATGGCTGTGTATTGCAGGCATCGGACAGCAGCCAAATTGTGTTTCTTGCTGAAGTCCTAGAACATGCTGCTCTAGCTGATAGTCATTCTACCCCTATCGTAAGATTTTGATCATGTTATATGTATGTTGTTGAATACCTAGCCTAGCGTTGTTACCTGACTTATACCTCCTTTTATGACCAACAAGGTGCAACATAACTATTGAATTGTTGAAGCTTGATCTAGCAGTTCCGAGATCAAGATACACACCTAAATGGAAAGTCTACTGCTTCCAATTCTATAATGATACAGAGTATATTGCAATTACAGCTATGATTTTCTAGTTGTAATTGTTTGTTTCCAATCCTTGTAATAATTTCATTCGACCAAACCCAACCCGTAAACCCCTTCACAATCTCTTCTGGAATGTCTAGCATAAACCTTAGGTCACTTAACATTTTAAAACTCTTTGCATCTTATGAAAAGGAGGCGGCTTTTGTAGGGCAATAGGAAATATCTTACAAGACTGAGGATTATTAGTTATTTCTTTGCTGCATTTGTTAAGTTCACACACAAGTATAATATAATGGTGACCTATAATCAGAATGTTAAAGATAGACCAAATGTTAAAAATAGACCAAAAAAAAAAAAAAAAAAAAACAATACTGATTGTAGTTAGTATAAAGAAGAATTCTGAAGTTTAATTACCTGATACTTCCATCATGGTCTATATCAGCCTCCATCAGGTCTCCGAGAGTCATTCTTTTCTTAAGAACATCTTTCGCCATCCTTCTATTCCTCTTCTCGAGCCTATACTCAGTCAGATACAAGAACGCCTTAGCAACTGCCAATGTACTTGCGAGTAGCCAGATAATCGCGAAGCATCTCCCTCCTACAGTCTTAAAGGCATGGTCTCCATAACCGACTGTTGTAACAGATGTTACAGACAGATAAAAACTGTCTACCCAATTCAACTTTTCGAAGACATGCACTGTAAACGTCCCAATAGTAAGGAAAACAAAAACAGCACCCAAAGCCAAGCAAACCTTAATCCTTATCCTCATTCTACCTTTTGCTTTGTCAATCACATAATCTCTTATAATCTTATTAAACTTGGTATCGTCGAGGAGAACTTCCTCCTGTGATTCGAGCACATACGTGACTAAACCATTCAGCAGAACATCAATAAACCCAAACCCGACTAGGATGAAGATACATGTGAAGAGCTTAGTAAAATTAGAAGCCGGTATTATGTCACCATATCCTATGGTAGACAAAGTTACTACTGTAAAATACAAGGCATCAACCAGCTTATTATCTGTTCTATGACCTTTAAACGTGTCGTGGGTTAAAGTGAATACCGTCACCCCAACAGTTATATACAGCATCAACCCAACCAAAGCGAGCTGCAGGATCCGTGGAGCCTTCTTTGTTCGATGCCTGTGATCGAAGGAGTCGAGTGGAATAAGTCCTTTCTCATCAGTGAAAAGAGGAGGAGCAGAACATGACCTGTCGAAGTTGATAATAAGATCTTTGTCTAGGGGACTTGTAATAGGCGGAGGACACGGAAATGTGCTGTCATCTTTCAGAAGCCTAGCAGTAGATTGGCGTTCCAATAATTTTCTTCTGATGGAGTTAGCTCGTGGAGCTCCGAGGAGGGGATGGATTGCATCATTGCTTAGAAGAAGCGATCTTAGAGATTGCGACGACCTTGGTGAACCGCGATCAATGTAGGCGGAAGGGAATGGTTGCCTGGCTCGAGGCGAGCTTGTATCTTGAGACATCCTTTCATCTTGAGGGAGAAATGGTTCATTCATTGTCAAACTTTGCAAGAAATATTTGAGGCTTTTTTTTTTTTTTTTTTTTTTTTTTTTTTTTTTTTTTTTTTTAATAAAGTTGTACAATAAAATTGGATATTGATTGATATTAATTTAAATTTTTGGCTAAAGATTTTGTTAGCAGAAGATGTTCTGCTTTTTGTGCATAATAATGATCTGTAATCAAAGGTTCCTATGTTTGATAAATACACAATTTTTATTATAAATTTTATTAGTGATTGAAAAATAATAGAGACAACTGTCTAGATACTGGTCAAGGAAACGGACATCTTTGTTATGAAATTTATTAAATTGAAAACGATCTTTGTTGTTTGATTTATTTAGTCTATCAAACTTTGTAGACACGTACTAAAAATATTGTTAGTAGCACAATTAAATATGATGTATAATTGTCTATTTCAGCAAATAATTGTTTACTGATTTTATGATAGATGTATCAATAGGATAAAGGTGATCTATTTGATAAGTATTTGAAAAAGAAAGATATAGTGTACATTGTTATTGCTAGAGATATGAAATATATATTTGTGTGATATATTTTTCATACTAGGTTAGGTCCCGTGTCTTACACGGTATGTTATTTTAATTACTTTTGAACAAAATTGAAGTAACATGAAATATTTGATCAAGATCATTTTCATAAAAAATATTCTACCAAAAATACATCTTCTTGAAAAATATTATATATTTCCTTATTATTCCGTGATTAATTGAGTACCAACATAAAAATGGTAAATATTATTGCTAATAGTTGACAAAAATAAACTTGTTTTTTTTAAAAAAATAACTTCCTTAAATAAAATTTAGTAATTAATTATTTAAAAAATATACTAAGAACACACCAGAAATCGACACGTGTCATTGCTGGTGTGTCTTTTAGTATATAGTTATTGATTATTGATTGATAAAATAAGGTTTTTTTTTTTTTTTTTTTTTTTTTTTTTTTTTTTTTTTAATATGGAAAATATATCACTAATAAATTTTCCATTATCTAACAATAAGTTGGAAATAGGGAATTTTTTTTTTTTGATAAAGTAGCACTTCGTACTATTTATAAGAAAATGATAAAAGGTACAGTACAAATATTACGGCAATTATTATGAATTTGGAACAAACATACATTCCATGATTAATCATTAAGAAAAATCTAATTTAATAGTCCAATTAAATAATTAACTCAATTCAATAATTTTGTAAAAAAGAAAATAGAGTTATTATAACTCAAAATCAATTTCCTCCAATGTAAAATAAGAAAAAAGAAATTTTAACAAGTTTTAATATTACATCTTGTAAATTTGCGTGAATATGCTCAAGCTCTTAAAGTGTATATTTAAATACTACAGTATTATTTATAAGCTTTATTATACGATTAACATTATTTTGTTACCACTCGTCAAACAAGTCGTTTAGAGTGTGAATACTTTTAAGAAAAAACCGGAAGGATTGTAAATTTGTAATATCCACAAGTCAACAACACAACGGCATTTGAGACGGCCATTTGTTTGGATTCTTTGGAAATCTATAGTTCCACAGCAAAAATAGGCTTTTTCCTCAATGTCCAAAAAAAAAAAAAAAAAAAAAAAAAAAAAAAAAAAAAAAATTGATAAATATAATTAGTAGTCGTTTTCTTCAAGTTTGACACCTTTGTTTTTGTTGTCTTTATATATTAACTTGGTGACGTGCTTTACAAATTCTCATTCTCCTCATACTCTATATCCGATAATTAAGGATGAATTAACTTAATTAAAAAGGCCGACAACCTAGTTGGCAAAAAGGTAGGGAACAAACAAAAGCGTGTTAAGTTTAATTAGATTTAGACGGCTACACATCCATCATACATTCATACACATCCATTTCAACATCAACTTCTATCATTCACTACCCTGCATAGTCTAATATGTACTTCGTTTCTTAAAGATTGTCTCAGCGAAAATTAAAGGATTAAACTAATTAAAGTAATGAATGTAAGCGTAAAGCACGACTTCTTCGTGACCACGGAGCAAACTCAAAAAACAAATTAAAATAAAAATGAGGCAATTTTAGATAGACAAATGAGTATGTAGTTATATATCATTCTTACATGATCAAAGTTGACTTTTAACTTCAAACCCCTTTATGTTGTGTCTGGGTGAAAGTATGGATGGAAAATGGAAAAACAAAGAGGTACGAAATGAATTTTAAGGTTATACTTAATTACAATCCAATTATTGGTTTTTACACACTTGTGCATAGTGTGAAAGAGTATAAAGACTAAATTGAAATAGCGTGAATAAGATTCAAGAAACACTTATAAAGATGGGATATTATACCATGTAACATTGAAATAGCGTGAATAAGATTCAAGAAACATTTATAAAGATGGGATATTATACCATGTAACCATGTTATTTATGCGTTTTTCTAATATAACTCTGACTTTTACACTACTGCATGAGATAACATTGAACTTGTAAAAGCTCATTCAATTGGATGGAAAACATAACTCTAATATATTATTATTATTATTATTATTATTATTATTATTATTATTATTATTATTATTATTATTATTATTATTATCTCAAAAACAGACAAAGTTATACAACCTACAATAAATTAGTGGGAAGTTGAGATACAATCTGGGTCCCCACTCCTCTAGCTATAGCAAAGCCTACCCTAGTGAAGATATAAGCTGCAGCACGAGCTCCAATGTCTTGCGTCGTCGAGAACCTCTGAACCCGCTTCAGCAACGCAACAACCTCCTTCTCTAATTCCCCAAGCGAAGAAAAGGAGAAGGGAATGAAACCATATCCAATCAGCCGACAACTAGCTTCATACTTCACCCTCTTCCGATGAGCCGCATCAACCACAACCCGCCCAGGAACAAAGTCAGATAGCCCTGTCTGTGTCAAAGGAGAAGACCCTGTTAAGTCCACACAAACATCGCGACCACGATCCCATAAATAAAGTAACACATCAGCAGGTCTGAGGGCCCCGTCATTCCCTCCGGACAACCCTATGTCAACCTCCTTTCTTGCCGAAAGCCCAGATCTGTAGCAGATATCAACAAGAGTATCCCGGACAACATTATGCCGATGTTTAATACCCACAATACCAGCACACGACACCGCGTAATCACCGAAAATATCCCCACTAAAAACCCGAGAACAAGCAGAGCACGACGTCGAGATAGAGAACAATGGAACACCCATCTTGTAGCACAACACACATCGGTAGGTCTTTTGGTTCATCGTCTGACCCAACCCAGAAATAGGGACTGCCCGAAGCCAAGCAGAGGTGTGATCTCCCTGCTGCGATTTCCACAATGCTGATTGCCTAGGAGACAAAGAATAGGCGGATTCTGCAGAAGCGGTAACCTTTGTGAAATATATATCTGCCAATTTCTTCATGAGTTTAGGGGCATCGACCTCACTAGGATTACTCATAATGTCAAACTCCACTATTCCATTAAACAGACTAAACACATCTCCAAAGGCTCGTCCAAGACCAACAATGCCAGCATGCCGTAAAAGCTGTGTTTGCAATCCAGCAGACTGTAACCGAGAAGCAAGAAAAGCATAATGACGAACATCACCTGAGGAATATACCCCAAGCCCTCTAAACGCAAATGGTAAGGTGGCAAGTCGCCATTGCCAATCGCCAAACCCAGGCCCCGAAGCAGTAACAATACGCTCCAAGGAAGATCGAAGAGCCCCGTCAAATGTGCGCTGAGCCGTCTCAAAAGTACTAGAAGGATAAGTACGCAGTGCAAAGTAGAGTTTAGAAACTCCGGTACATGCCCTAAGTACAATAGCTCACACTGAGGATCATCAAGCAGAGCAACCTTATCCATAAGCGCAATGGTCTTGGTCACCCTCTGCATCACAAGCTCTCCACCAAAACCGGAATTGGAACTAGCAGGACCACCAAGCAACTTAACACCACGCAAAGGTCGAGCAATATTGGGCGGAAAAACACCCACAAGCTTGCTTTGAGGGTCTTCTGTTGGCCAGAAAATTTCAGTTTTTTCCACATTAAGATGTAACCCAAAACGAGGCCCTTCCTCCATAATCAACTGCAGAACCTTCCCCACCACCAAAGTTTCACCAATAACAGTGCCGTCATCCATATACCACGCATGAAGACATAAGTGAAAAGCATCTCTGATTTTACAAACCAGGGGCTGTAAAACCAAAGCAAAAAGTAGAGGACCAAGGGGATCACCCTGTTGCACTCCTTGACACGACCATAAGGATTGGTCCCCATAATACAATCTGGCTGGATTAGAATAGCAGAAGTCAACCCATCGCGAAATGCCCAGACAACGACGACGAACTTCACGTAACATGACCGTACGATCAACAAGATTGAAGGCATTTTGAAAATCCACCAACAACATAGAAAGACCAACATCAGAACCACGATCCTCAATCAATTGATTCACATCATGAAGAATTGCCTCACCACCTGAAGAAACCCCAACGCCAAATTGAAGACCATCAAAGTAACTTTCTAAAGATTGGCCAACCATAACAGCACCCACCTTCGAAACCAGACGCCGCCAAATAGTACCCACAGCTATAGGACGAATACCACCACCGGGCTTGACAAGTGGGGTAAGAGGAGCACTAGCAATATACTCTCCTAGTTCCATAGGACACTTTCCAGCTAGAAAGAGATTAACCACCGCGGAAATAGAGTCAACTAACTCATCTGATACAACCACAGCAGCACCACTCAAGCAATCCAGAAGGTGCTGAGCTCGTAAACATCCCTACCACATGATGTGCCACGTGGAAAACTCTTAATCCGATCCAAAACAACAGCAGAAGTAGTAACGAGATGAAGGCCATCAACAGGTATATCAGGCAAGGATGGAGTTGGAGAAGTAGGGTGTTTAGACTGTAAATCTGCGAGAGTGGCGTCATTATAAGGAGCAACGCCTGAAGAAGAAAGAACCCGGACTGCAGCAGTATAATGGCCGTCATAAATCTTCCTACGACATTGCTTGATATTACGCTCCTCCAAATCAAGGTCCTCATCACCAACCACTGAAAAGTAGGAGAATCCTCTGCCAAAATATCCCTCACAAGCTGCAAATTATCACCTGGTGCACTCCAAGAACAAATAGCACGGGAAATACTCTCTTCTTGATGCCGACATTTTACTATTATTATTATTATTATTATTATTATTGTTATTATTATTATTATTATTATTACTACTATTACTACTACTACTACTATTATTGTTGTTGTTGTTGTTGTTGTTGATTTTTGAAACAGACTCCTCCTAAGAGTGTTAGGGTATTTCAGGGTATATCAAGATGTCCTAAAGTTAATGCCCGATAGTCCGAATGTCCTTTAGCTCCGCCTTGCAAAGGTATGTCTGAGGGCTCGGCCTTGACGTCCGAGGGCTCGGCCTGCAAAAGAAAGAAGGTTAGCTGCCCCGCGGATGTGATCCGGGAAAACCCTTCCGATGCTTAAGTCAGTGAATTGTCCTTTGAAGAGAGAGAAAGAAGAAAAGTACTTTCTAGAGAGAGAAAGTAGAGAGAGAGTACTTTCTAGAGAGAGAAGGAGAGAACATTCGAAAAAATCCCTTTCATTAATGAATGATGAGATATTTATAGTGTACTTTTCAGATGACAGACTTGTACTTGAGTGGACAAATTAGGGGCAAATCCATACTTTGTAATGATTAATGATGGGCTGGATCATGGAGGGATATTTTCGTCACTTCAGGTGCATTGGGCTTAGGACATGGACTAGGCCGAAACAATTATTATTATTATTATTATTATTATTATTATTATTATTATTATTATTATTATTATTATTATTATTATTATTATTATTATTATTATTATAGATAGATTAGAAAAACCAATTCGACAAATAAAATTACTTCGAAAAATTCATAATTCACCATGACTTCTAAATGCTATCTCACAAATTCTTATATGTGGTTGACCAGCCGTTATGGAGGTTACTTCGTTGGTATTATAAGGGTTACTCGGTTAATGTTAAAGGGATTACTTCGTCAGTGTTGTAAGGGTTACTCGGTCAATGTTATAGGGGTTACTCGGTCAGTGTTATAGGGTTTATTTTGTTTTTTCACAAGCAGTCACATAGTATGGCCTGCCGCACACAAGACACGCTAATTAATTAAACGTTGTATATGTTAATAAACAAAAAAAAAATCTAAAGAAATTTTATTAATTAATAAAAAATAAAAAAAATGTTGTATATGTTAGTAACGTCATAAAAATACAAAATAAAACGAGTGGTTGCCCACGAATCAAGGATTACCATAGACTTGCCAATAATAGAAGGAATTATATGATTTAAGTTTACATTATTGTGGCTAAGCTAGTTGGCAGACAAGTCACTATGATCAGTTAATCTGTTCTTCGATTCCAAGGAAAGGGAATAAAATTGCTAATGTTTCTAGAAATTAAAATAAAAAATCAAAAAATATGACTAAAACCAACTAACTTCAACCATACATATAGTTGACTATATATTATGTGTGGAAGAGGGAGAAGTGGGATCCCATCTTTAGCATGTGATTAAGGATTGAAAATGTGAACTTTTTTCATTTGTTAAGCCACCATAATTGCCATATTTTAAGGAATAGTACTTAGCTTAGAGCAATAATTTAACAACAAAAGGATTTCAATGGAACTATGACTAAGTGAGATAGCGTTAAATTCAGATGAATTTTTATTTTATTTGAATTTATCTAAACTTAACAAGCTAACTTGAATTTATCGTTGCGTAAAGGGTTACTTCGCTCACCAAGTCATATTACTCATATGTTGTGTATACATGGACTCACAACTATTGACCCCTTCAATATACATGACCTTTTATACTCCTCGATCCCTTTTTGTTTGTATCATGGGCCCACTTTTTGTGAGAGTTTTTTAGGTTAAATGGTGCAAACAATAAGGGATGGAGGGAGTATTTCACATCACTAGTGTGCTTAGAGGCTAGGTGTCAATTTGGATAACTAGGTCGGATTTGATAAGATCGAGTCGAGTCAATTTCAAATGTGAGTTATGTTAAATTATTTTATCCATACAAGTCGAAATGTAAATTAAATTTTGTTCATATAGGCTCTGATCGAGTCAATTAAGTCACCTTTTGACACCTCTGTACTACAAAGTGACAATGTGACAACGTTAGTCTAAGAAGGGTCATTCATAAGAAGTTGGAAGTAATTAAGGGAGAAGCTTAAGAGATCATCACTCTCAAATAGCCGCAGGCTCGAGAAGGAATGTATTATATGGAATATAACCTTTTTGTAATTTTTCCATGGTAAACAAGACAATTACAAAAGAAATACTCTAACAACTTAACGAGTTTTAGGATAGGTTGTTCTAGATTTAACTATACGATATACTCTTAGTGACACAAACTTTAAATTAATTGCAATCATTAACAACTATTTGACTCTCTTACATACAAAACCACCTCGTTCAAACCTGGCAAATCTAGTTAGACAGCTAATAACACTTACTATGATCACTCGCAATAAATCGAATATTTAACAAGTGTAAAAAAAAAATGTTCAAATTGCCTTTTTGTTTAAATTAATGGTTGAACTGTAATATATGCAATATCTGTGAATGATCTTTACATTACTTGCGTGATACATAGTCATGAATTGGCTTATTGTCTATGGCTCGTACTTAAGCAACTAATATGGTTTAATTTTACGATGAAACCTCACTTAACTTGAATTTGATCGCCTCTAGAGGTGCTGAGGTGGTGTACGTCGTACATTTGTATAGTGTTCTATAAAGATGGGGTGACCCCAGTTAAAGCAAAAACATGTGATAGAGGAGTGATATGTACCACATACCCTTTTTGCAAGCAACGAAGCCAAAACATTTGTTTGTTGCTTAGCATGATTCGAAGACATGGTGCATTAACTAGATGTGAATGTACTGTGGTGGAAACAATTAAGTCTCTTGTGGTGGTGGAGGCTGTTGTCACGTAGAGGTGTTTCCCAATACTATAATTTGTGACAAAAAAAGCAAGCATGTATGATTAATGGGCTACATATTCTTCCTATTATCATATCATGTTAGGGTGAAACTTTACTCAACTTATGCATTGATTATCTTGATCTCCTTTTGTCGAGGGCCTAAACCTAGATCTTAACAAACGCTAATGACATGCTTGATAAGCCATCATAATTTGCGAGAGTGAATAATTTACATGTAAATTTGCAAGGAAATTCCATGTTCATTTTTAAGTTATTGAACATGACTCAAAATGACACGACACAAGTGAACCAAGCCACGCATGGACTCCATTTAAGAAAAATCAACGTGACACAACTTTTTCTTGGGTCATGTCAAACACGACTCACTTGAGTGCAAGACCTACTAGCACGACACTGCACATTGGCTTACACAACCCTGCATGTGCCCAACTCTATTTAATATTCATATGGAGTAGAGACTATGAGCATTATTATCATTTTGAGAATGTAGTACGTAATTAATAAAAGTAGATAGTTTAAGTGCAATTGTGCAAATGCATGTTTTGCAATGTCAAATTCTCTTTCATAACGAACAACCAACAAGAATCAAGAAACTATATAAAAGCTAAGCACTACGTAATCCCTTACATCCTTAATACCGTTATTTTTTCCACTTTGATTCCATTTGTTGACAAAGTGATTGATTTTATAAAGCTATATATATAAATTCCAGATCTCTGTTATCTAGCTGTATTTTTTATGCAATAGTTTATATTGCAGTATATTAGTAACAAACAGCTGAAAACAGAACCTCTTTCAAACATATTGCACCAGCTCCTGATTATATGGCTGACTATATCAATTTCGCCGTCACAGGCCTTCTGCATACATTTCTAGCTTCATTGATTGGCATTCTTGTTCTGTTTATACTACGGAAACATCGTAGGAATACGAGGGCTTATGAGAAACTGATGCCACCAGGGGAGATGGGGATCCCCTGGATCGGCGAGACCCTGGATTTCTACAGAGCCCTGCAGAAGAACAGGCTTTTCGAGGACTTCATTGCTCCAAGGATCAAAGCTCACGGAATGACCTTCAAGACGAGGTTGATGGGGAGTCCGACTGTCATAGTAAACGGCGCTGAAGCTAACAGATTTTTCCTGTCGAACGAGTTTAAGCTCGTTGTCAGTTCTTGGCCTGCATCATCAGTTCAGCTGATGGGAAAGAACTCTATCATGGAGAAGTCAGGAGAACAACACCGTGTTGTTCGATCGATTTTGACTAGCTGTCTAAGTAACAAGGGACTAGAAGGTTTGGTTCCTAAGATTTGTAAAGTTGTCAAGGCGCATTTGGTTAAGAATTGGGGTGATAAACCCCAAGAAGAAAGGATCATCTCATTATACAAAACCACGAAATTTTTGTCCTTCAGAATAATGTGTGAGTGTCAGTTGGAGATGGAAGCGGAGGAGGAGCTTTTCGAGTGCTTTGAGAAGGTCCTAGAAGGGATTTTCTCACCCCTTGTGAATCTTCCAGGAACGAGTTTTTGGAGAGCGAAGAGAGCAAGGGCTGAAATCGAGAAGATATTGGTTAAATTAGTGAGGCAAAAAAGGAAAGTCATAGAAGAAGAACAACCAGCAGGAGCTGCTGCAGCTGAAGAAACACGAACGTTGCTGTCGAGACTAGTGAGTGCCATGATTCGAGGCGAGATCACAGAGGTTGAAGTTGTTGATAACATAGTTCTGCTCATCTTTGCTGCTCATGATACTTCCTCTTTTGCAATTGCTATGACTTTCAAGATGTTGGCTCAACACCAAAGTTGCTATTCCTCATTGCTTCAAGGTATGTCACTAAGAAAATTTCATTGCTATTTTCTATTTTCATCACCCAAAATCACATAAAAGTATATAGCGGTTCAATCAATTAACATCATTGGTTATCTATTTATGTTTTTCTGTGCATTTTATGATTATTGTATAGCAATAAAATTGTCATATTGTCAAGAAGTATCATTACTCAAATAATTTAAGCTAATAACATTTTTGTATTCTTCTCAATGGCAGAGCATTCTAATATTAGCACCAACAAAACAAAGGAAGGTGAAGATTTGACAATGGAGGATGTTATGAAGATGAATTATACATGGCAAGTAGCCCGTGAAAGTGTACGCCTTTTCCCTCCAATTTTCGGGTCTTTCAGAAGAGCCACTTCGGATATAGAGTTCGATGGATTCACAATTCCTCAAGGATGGAAGGTTTGTTCTTTCTAACCAAACAAAACATTGTATCCACTTATAACCTTTATATTATTATCGCGTGTTAATAGTGTATGTACAACTCCATTTGAAATTTTAGAATCTTGAACACAATTTCAGGACCTCACCTCAAAACAATTCATGTACCTAAAACTTATTTTGAGCCAAATGGGAACGAAAAATCAATCGATACCACATCCAATTTAAATGTACCTGAATTAACTCATCAATTTGAGATGTTGATACCATTTATACCAAGTATTGCAACAAAGACTCTGACCCAATTTGACTCGACCTATGTATTTGACATGTTTAATAAGTATGGATTTGAAAAGTGAAACTAAAACTTCTCCTCATGATTTAATGTAGGTATTATGGACAGCTTACGGGACGCATTTCAGTGAAGATTATTTTAAAGATCCCATGAGATTTGATCCAAATAGATTCGAAGAGCCCATATCACCTTATATATTTGTTGCATTTGGAGGAGGTCCAAGGGTGTGTGCGGGCTACCAATTGGCTAAGATGAATATTCTCATCTTCGTGCATTTGGCTGTGACTAACTATAATTGGTCTTTGGTTCAACCACATGAACCTATTGTTATGGATCCGCTCCCGCTCCCTTCTCAAGGAATGCCCTTGCGAGTTTCTCCTAAAGTACAGTAGAATATACATATACGAATTACTTCTTATTTATTTATTTTCTCGAGGTGGGTACAAATTCGTACATATACCCGGATGCATCGAGATATATGTGCACCCTTAGAAGGGGGTGTAAAATGGGCATGTCCATATGATACCAATACCTTGTAAACACAATTATTTGATTAATTAATGTAATTAGATAATTAATTCACAAAGACGTGTTTGTTGCATTCATTCAGGCAGAATTCAACGACTTCCAAATTTCCTATATTCCTTTTGTCGTTACCCCTGGAATTTAGGGTATGCATAATAATTGAATAAATATCAATTATGTAGCCTATTAAGTCAACTAATACCCACATTCTTAATCTAATTAAGTTTGTAATCTATTAGTCTTATCACCACTTGGTACTAATAAAAAAGAATTTCAAGTCAATTAACCTAAGTAACTTCACCTAAGTCCTAAGATAGAGTCACAGAGGTGGGTCCCTTAAATTGAAAATGGAGCTAAGCAAATATTTAACCAACATAAGCCTACTAGATTATTAGTGAAAATCAATTGGTGCCATAGTAGGTATGTAAAGTTGCAAAAAATTTTATATACACTCAGGTGTACATAGATGTTGTGCACTGAAGGGTGATTTATTGTTCATTTGATTTTTTTTTTATTTTTTTCTCATTTTTTAAAATAAGCTGGAAAAGAAAAAAAAAAAAAAAGAGCAGAAATACTCTTGGATGCACCATGCATCCGGGTGTACATAAAGATTTTCAGAGAATGATTACAAAAGGCCCCTAAAATAGAAGGACCTTATATGAACTCACATTCTTGTATAATCTTATCGTAATACTTCCTCCATTTTTTATAGATACATCACTTTCTAAAAATGAAAGTTTCAATTTAGATGCATCACTTTCCCTTTTAATTAATAAATTCTCACATCTCTCTCCTATTACATGAGCCCCTTTTATTTTTCCTCTATCTTTCTCTACATAAAAAATTATCTAGGATTACGTAATTACAAAAATAATGGAACTAAAAAAAAACGAAATAATGGCTAACTTATATCCATGAAGGCCCATTTAATCAGCACCAAGTCCAAGTGTATGCAATACTGAATACTCCATATAACTTTCTCTCTTTTTCGTTATGCTCGTATCAAATTCTTGTCATATTAGATGTCAATAGATTTCTTATAAATGTCTTAACGATGTGGTTTTTAAATAAGAATTTTTATACTACTTCTATTTCTTATTATTCAAGGCAAAAGATATTAAACATAATTATTGAAAAATAAGGGCATATACTTAAGTATTAATCTAACCAAAAAAAAAAAAAAAAAATTTAACAAAAATTAAACTAAATAACCCCCACCTCCAGCAGCACCGAAACCACCCACCTCTACCAGCAGCAGCACCGAAACGACTCACCACCAAGCCCTCCCCGAAACCACCCAGCCAGCTCTCCATTTTGAAATCGTCTTCGCCATATTGCCGGAAATTAAACCTCCGTGAAGGAGGCGAAATCTAGCGAGGTGAACCTCGAAATCGACGTCATCGCAAGCGTGGATTGGGTCTCTGGAGGTTTAAGATGAGGTCGGAGTTGAGAATGTGGTGGTGTGTGATGAACGCCGCAAAATTGTTGGCAGAGGAAACGAGAGGGCTGGGGTTAGATGGGTTGTGTTGGTGGTTTTGGGGGTTGGGGAGGGCTGGGTGGGTGGTTTCGAGGGTCGGGGAGGGGTGGTAGAGGAAGACCGACTACTTTCGGTGGTTAAGTGGGGTTGGCCGGCCACTTTCCGGCGAGATTGAGGGTTGGGGTTAGGGTGCCGGCAAGGTTAGGGGGTGGGGAAAGGGTGGCTGGAATATTGGTTTTTTTTTATTTTTTGTGTTTTATATCTTTTTTTAATATTAATTTTGGACCATTCACGTATTGACACGTGGCAATTAAAACAAAAAAATTATAAAAAAAAAACTCGTCTAGCAGGTCACCGGTCATTGGGACCATTGGAGGCAAATTGACTTCATAGTTGAGATTATTTGAAAATAAACCTTAGTTGGGATTATTAGAAGTAAATCGTCCACAGTTGGGATTATTAAAGTGTATTTTTCCTTAATCTTATAATAAAAAAATAATATACTACCTCCGCTTCTTATTACTCGCAACATTTGCCTAAAATGGGTGCTTCACATTACTCGCAACAAATTTATTTCTTTCCTTTTTTAGTAAGTTTTTTTTGTGCAAAATGATAAAAATACCTTTATTTTTAAAAAAAAACATCCTAATTGAACTACAAATCTAATCTCATTACATTTAACCCCAAGGTTAATTAATTTCACCCTTACCACCAAATTTATTCCCCTCCTACATTCAACATCTTCCTTCATAGCATAATATTTTCTCTTTCTTCCTTCATAATTCAACATCTACATTCAACCATCACCTTCAATGGCAACCACCACCACCACCACTACCATCGTCCATCTATCACCACTACCACCGATCACCATTGTCCCTTTCTTGTCGTCGCCTCCGTTTTCTCTCTCTTCCTTTTTATGCTGTTTTCTCATTGCCGCTAAAGCTCAAATTTGGAGGTTTTATGGTCAAATTTAACTATAAAAACTATAGATCTAGAGTTTTGACGATTAAATTTAACCATTTAAAGCTTTAATTGATGATAGAGGGTTCGCGGGTTGTGGGTTCGTTGGGTTTTCATGGGTTAGTGGGTTCAAGGGTTTTCTAGATCTGTGGGTTTTCGTGGGTTGGTAGGTTCGTGGGTTTGTTCGGTGTTTTATGCGGCTGCTGGTGGTTACTTGGTTCGGTGTTTTGAGCGGCTTGGTGGTGGTTGGTTCGATGTTTTGTGCTGAGTGGTGGGTGGTGGTGCCAGGTTCGGTGTTTTGTGGTGGTGCTGGTGGTGGGTGGTTTCGGTGCTGGTGGTGGTGGTGGGGGTGGCTGGCTGGGTGGTTTTGGCGATTTTAATTTTGCTCTGTTCTTGCGAGTTATTAATTGTTGAGGCCGGCGTTGAAGAGAATGACGGGGCTGGTTTAGTTGGTGGGTGCAGGGTGGTTGTGCGGCGGTTTGGTGTAAGAGGTGCAAAAAAGAGTGCAGGAGCAGCAAGGTTAACGGGATATATGGTGGTTGAAACGGCGAGGGGTTGCTGACGTGCTGTAGTTGGTGGCTGCCGTTGCAATTGTGGCAAGAAGGTAGGCGCTGTAGTAGGTTGGAATTAGTGACAGTGTACAGGTGCGGTGTAGGTGTGGTGTGGCTGGCTGGGAATTTTGGGTTTTTTTTTTTGTTTTTTTTTAACTTTGGACCAATCACGTGTTGACACGTGTCATGGTAACCTGTTATAACAGGTTGTTGACTTGGTGTTGACCGATTGAGACCATTGGAGGCAAACACATAGCATAGTTGGGATTATTAGATAATAAACCTTAGTAGGGATTATTAAAAGTAAATCGCCCATAGTTGGGATTATTAAAGTGTATTTTTCCTAAGATTAAAGATGTTTAACAATTTGCAAATGCATTTTTTTCCTAATCCTATTTGGTCGGATCTAATATAATAATTGTTTCGGGGTTTTTTATATGTCCTGCGGGAGAGTTACAACACCAAGACTGGATCCACACGCCTGTACCTGCAAAACAACGGAGACTCCCAGGGGTGGGAGTTTCCGCCTTCAACGATCAAGTTAGAACGTGTTCGGATGTAAGAAAAGTGCGGAATTTAGATGGGATCAGGTTCCTCTTAGGAGAGGAGTGATCATCCGGCTATCTCAGACAGCCTCGAAATCCGAGCCTTAGCTCTCAAGAAGTGCAATTAAAGCTGGAGTTAATGCTTAGCCATTAATGTACATGTGTGTTTAATAATTTCTGAATGATGTTCCTCAGGGGGAACATCTCCCTTTTATAGGGTCTCGTAATGTGTACCAGTCCTAGGTTTACGGGAAACCTAGGTTTGACTGGGCTTCCTTGGAGTATGGGCCTTGGAAGGCTGCTTATCCAAGTTGGCAATCTATATGCCACGTGTCATGCCCTGATTGGTCCACTTTGGACTCTTCACTGAGTGACACGTGGCGGACTCTATCTAGTTGGTCCACGTGGACGACATGTGGAGGGTCCTGACTGGTCCATATGGAGAACATGTGGCAAAACCGGATTGGTCCACGTGGCGGGGTGAAAATCCCCTAATCAATAATCATTTTTCAAATAAACTTTAATACGAATTTAACTAGATTTACCTTATTCATACACTAACCCTTAAGAAAAAAAATTATTCCCTTAATTTCTTAAATTACCGTATTTCATATTTCTTCTATTTCAAATTAATTGCAATACTTTTTTATTGGGCAAGGATTCTTCATTATTTAATTATCTCACACTCCCATGAATACTGCTTTCACTAATTTTTTGTTATTTAAGTTCTCTCTCCCGCTTACAGTTATATAAAGTGTATACCACCATGGTCCCACCAACCATACTTTTATTACAAAGTTATCATTTTGGTTCTCACCCGATAATTTTTTCTTAAACTATGTGTATGACAAACTTAGTGTTACGATTAATTTAAAATGGAAAAGGCATATCGGATAATATGTTGTTAGATTCACATTTATATGTAACTTTCGGATCAAATAACTTTCATAACTTTTTTTTTTTATTAATATTGTCGGCGTCGTATGAATTGAAGTGTGATTACCTTAGCAAACGTTGGAAGTTGGAATTGACATAATATGATAAGGGACAATAAAGTACGGAGCCGCTAACACTTTTTTAAGGAATGAACTTGTAAACCACTCATGAATCATTTAACGCCGCAACCACGAAATGGGATAAATTGAAAGGCAACAAACGATTTGACCCATGAATTGAAGGTTATATCCCATTCAGAGTTCTTGAGATTGAATTGATAACTCCATGTGATCACGAAAAACGACTGGAAGGTGCGGGGATGATGGTACTACGTACGAAATTGAGTCTGGAAGACAATTCCTCCTGTATTGGCCTCTACTAAATTCTTATAGTGACATGTATATTTGCAACCCAAAAGACATATAAACAAATTGAAGGTTCAATTTGCTCCAAACTAACTATGCTAATTAGTCAATTTAATAGTAATGCACACAAAAATATTACTAATAAATCGTGATCACTTGAATTTAGCAAAAAGATTATCGAAAATCTAAACTGGTCGTCCAAATTATCTTATTAAGCGTAATTTCAATTACAAATCTTGATT